ACTGGACAACGGAACGGTAGTAGGAACGTACGATGTTCCCCTATGTGCATTATCGATTGATTGTAAATGTGTTAGAGGTAAAAGATTTAGATTATACGAGTTCCATGACACGACACATATGTGCACACACTCATAGGCTAGGATTCACCAAATCCTAGACAGCGAGGGAGACGAGGCAAAAGTGGAAGGGCGGATACAGGAAATGTGAAGGCGAAGACGGACGGGATGTGAGCCGCTGCGTCAGTTCTTTCTTCTCTCGATGAGGAGTACGGTACGGGAGCAAGTGATGGAGTTGTGGTCGCCAAGGCATATGCTGCAGGTGACGGAGGCCATGCTCTGCGCGGACTCATCTCGGACAGATGCAATTCTTGGGCTCGTGAGACCGAATCCGTAAAATGATGGCATCTTTCTGAATGATGACCGCCGATACTTTCTTCTATCACACAAAACACGCAATGGACGGCAGAGCTGTGCGTTCGAGCAAAATCTAGACATCGTCTTAGGTTTGCGCGATCTCAGAGGACATGGAGTCAAGGCGACGGTACATGATGTTCACAATTTCGAGAACGGCTTCGATGTTTCCGTGACCTTCAGTTCTAATAAGTATTTATTTCACGGTCGTTAACTAGTATGATACAAACGGCATTCAAGCATACTGCACGCGAGTTAGTGGTGGAAAGTGGTCTGTGGAGTGGTGTTGCCGCGCACACGAGCTACAGTTGGATTGATTGGATTGAAGCTAGGGTGAATTGCGCCGATATTGCTATGATATGACCAAGCATTTGCACAATGAAGAGAGCAACTATGGGACCGCATGGCGTTCGGCTTTTTCGTGTACACGTGAGTTCACAAGGTCCGAATTGAAGTTCATTCCTATATCGGCGAAAAGCTCTTCGAATTCCTTGTATTTTACATTGCCTCGTCAGCAGTGGATGCCGTCAAGAGTATGATGTCAACGTACAAATATTTCTAGGTCTTGCATGCAGGGGTCGTTAAATTGATAGAGGTATGATAAAGGTATGCGGGGATGACCATGTTTAGCATACTGGGAGATGTTTTGATGTCGAAGAGAACACTTTCCAATGTACTCGACCACGTTATTTCACAGTGGTGTTGTCCTTTGTCTTGAAGCCAAAGGAATCTGCAAAGACACGATAAGGTTCCTTTATGCGGAGTTGAGTGAAAGCTGGTTGTATATCTGCTAATAGGATGATGGGCATTTCTCTGCTCGCGACAAGTATGTCGCGAATTTTGTTGACGAAAGGCTTTCGCGTACAGTACGTCATTCAGAGATAGTTGACCTCTTTGTCGCAAGGAGGCCTCGAACACGATGCGAAGCAGAGTGGATGTGCTCTTTTCAAACCTTAGAATGGGGCATGTAATATGTCCCAACCGAATCAATTACTGGTTCTTTGAGTTCTTCTACGATGTTGTTGCTCAGGTATTGTCTGAGAATTTTCACGTACCAATTCTTTCTTTCTGGATTTGCAGCTAGATATTTTTTGAGCGATCAATCTCTTCAACGTCATGTTACGATTTTCGACTAGATCCTTAACATATTCTTTGAAAGGATATGGGACTGTCACGCACTTCACCAAACTCGATAGTTTCTGCATATTTCCTCATGTAACTGAAGGTGGCTTCTTCGTTCATACCTTCTTTCTTTGAGATGCCTCGGTCCTCCACCTTAAAGATGATTCTGATCATATCTGACTCCGCCATCGCTTCAGGGATGATTGTGTTGCAAACTTTTGTTGCGTCCCCAACCATGCCGTGGCATGAGTCACTATTTCCACTGCCATATGCAGCAAAGACGAAAACTGTCCGAGTGACGCGTAGTTCTGTCGGTATTTGGAGTGGTGGAGTGTTTTCTGGAACGAAGGCATTTCAAAGTTTAATACCATTTAGTATTTAAGAGATCTGATATTCGCCGCGAAGCCTACTATTATCTGGGGAAATGCCATTCTGTTTCATGAACTGCTTCCAATAATCGAACTGAGCGGGAACGTTTTGTCAGTGTGGGCTTCGTACTCAGTGAGAACCGCAGCTCTCTTGCATGTGCAGTATGAATTCTTAGCCTCAACGCTAGATGTTCTGCTAATTTTCCTTGTATGGGGCTATGCTAACGTCTCAAAGAAAAGCAAGGGGGCCGTGTGGTGATTCTAAATTAAAGGACGCATTCGCGATCAGAGGGAAAATCGAATTAGGAAGAATTTACCTGGTTGAGGGACCCGCGGAGCTCCTAAGTGTGCGAACTGAAGCACAATTTGCACAGTAGGAGTTGACCTCGCTAACCTATTAAGGTTTAATCCGTCCGCGGCTGGTCAGCACGCGCCCACCGATCATCTGAGCACTCGCCGTAGTTCAATACGTGGCGAGTGATTAGATAGCTAAGAGAGCGTAGTGTTGAAGAGGGCACAGCGATGATAGTCGCATCAATGCTCGAATCAACGGGCAAGGAAGGGGTCCCATTGCTCGGGTTTTGGGCCGTTTCTCATGGTTCTTCCTTCTTTCGTGTACAACTCACCATCCCTAGGTTAGTTTGAAATGGGTTGCTTTTTTATCGTGAATTCGTCCTTTAATCCGCCCACCGTGTTTGGTGCGGATGTTGGTAGGAGAGCGTTTATATGCACATCCGATCCATCCACATCCTGCATCATTCGTGTTGGACACTTGCATTGATGGCAGTGGCTTGTTGTGATTCCGAAGACTCGCCTGCATTTCGCTGTCTTGAAGAGTCATAGCCCATATAGGACGTCGAAAAACACCTCCAGCACAGGTTTTTTTTATTAAAATGTTGCGGCGTTAATAGCTTCCTGTACATCCGACACTGATATGTCTTGTGGTTGGTACGCTCGCAAAAGTTTCAGCAGTCTGCACTTTCTAGGGAACGGCTAACGTTTCGCTGTTGTAAGCCGGAAAACTGTCTTTGTTTACTCTCCGCTATCCAAGACGGCGCGCAGTGTACTGGTGGCTACGGTTTCAAGTCGCTCGAGGGTCTCACCCCACAGTGTGTGATTCACCGCCTTTGTTTTTCATCAGAAACTGTCCTACAATGTTATGAGGAAGCTCCAGAAAAATTGCTTCAATCCACATGGGGTCACTTGTGTCCGTGATCTATCCTGATTAAACTATTACGTTGATGAGAGATCGCAGTTCATCGGAAAAGTATTCACATGTGGTCTCTATCGCCGGCTTTACGTTGCATAAACGCTGAATGACGACGTTGGCACGAACCTTGTGACATTTCCCGTTTTGTTCATTAGCGTCGCAGTCATCCAGGTGTAAGTCTTAGGCACAACTTTGATATTTTTATGGTTATGGACTACTTTCCTACGAGACTTCCTTTCAGTAATATCACCTTTTCCATGCCTATTGATTTTTGTAGACCATTGTCTCAAAAACGGCCCAACTTCCTGGAAGTCTTTCTTTCCAATAAACCGGGGATGCTGACCGAAGGGGGTCTGAGTGCTTTCTCCACTTCTCCAGTTCTTCCCACTTATGAGTTCATTTACCAGCGCATGCCTTGCTGTTGTGCGCGATATTCTGCGCTCAGCAGTGTTTTTAGGGACACGTGAGGGCTGCGTCGTCGACAGCTGGCATTCCCTGTCTCCTTTTCAGCATTTTTTCGTCATGCGAATGTCGTGTTTGAAGTTGTTCTCGTTCGTGATGCAATTCAAGAGCAAAACGAGTTTGTTTCACCTTTCCACAAAACGCGTCTTCAGTGCACAGAGCAGTGCGTTGACTTCTATCAGAGTGGCATCGTAAGGGATTGCAAGGGATTTCAGAATCGATCCCGGCGAGCTCGTCTGGAAATTCCTTCTTTTCTGACTTCTTGATTTCAGTAAGATTATGCTCAATCTCTTCAATGACCGTCTCTTCGACCGTTACCTCGCTGGTAGACCTTTCGAATATGTCGTGGGCTTTCAGCGTTACGCTCACTCGTCGTAGGCTCGACTTCCTCTGGAATGGCGATATGATCACCGTCCGTTCCTTAGCGGGAGCTGATTTCATTTGGTGCTCTAAGTATTTCGTTGAGTTGAAATCGCAGCGGGCAGGTTCTACTTGACTACTTACCTAGGCTCCTTATTTGGCGGGTAGCAAAAGCAGAAGACGACCGGCTCGTTTAATTCGAGCTTGCGATGCATCAAGAATGTATTAGCATGTCTAGGTGGTTCAGTATTTATCGATGGAGCACCAAGGTCTTTCACCGTTAGATACAAAAGCGAACAAACCAGCTGGCCGCGCTGGGCTTCGTCGCACATGGGGATGCGCTTTTGTTGCCAATTTCGGTGCATTATCCCATTATGTTCTTCTTGAGGGTACAGACCAAAAATCCGGCGCTGCTGACACGTATTTTGTTGTATGGGTTCCATGCTTCACCGTACTCATTCGCCTGATTTCCAGGGAAACGTTGGTGCAAGAGACCTTTTTGTAAATTATGGATATTTCGGCATACCGGTTTCAATCCATTGTTTATTGTCCATGATTCGGGACGACTTCCAAGTTTTTTTTTGTCCTAGACTGATGATCGCTTTGAGTAGACCGAAGCTATCAAAATCCACTGTAGTTTCTAGGGCAATACTTCATTAGAATGCTATGGAATCCAGTATTCCCTTCACCTTTTCTCAAGCCACTAACGCGCACACGATACTTCTGGACAGTATCATTCCAACGGGAACACTGGCTTCAAAAATAGAAAAAAAAACGTAAGAGCAACGCGCTAAAAGCACTGCTTTAGAAAATTACCCTCAAAATATCTGTTTAATCAAATCAGACTCATTTTGAATTGCCAATCCTAATGGTATAGCTACTCATAAAAAATTCTTCCGGAAATCCACGCAAGTGGACCTCATAATACTAGTACTCAGTTGTGACGTTTTGATTTTAGGGTTTGTTTTCCGATAAATAAATAACAAATATGAAATACCTTTGAGTATGTTTTATATTATCGCCTTCACTCTATATTTTCTTTTTGTTAAGTTTAGGCTAGCGTGAAGATGTTCGAGGTTGCCTTGAAAAATATGGATGTGGACCCATCGAAGCGTAACGACACTGGTTCTCCATTCGACCCGAAAGTTATAGGTATTCTTGACCGAATTTATGTTTCTTATATCCGTACAGCTTTCACTCATGAAATCCATGAATGCCTACAATGCAGTGCACAAGGACGAGATTATACCGCTGCGCATAGCGTAATGTACCGCACACTGTCATTGTAATGACCGCAGACGATTTGTGATCTGTAGTTGCTCGCGGTTTTTGTTTCTTTTTTTTGTCGCTCTAGTTGTCTAGCTGTGAATTCTAGTGCATCAGCAGTAAGGACCGCAGTCATCGTCCCCACACATCAGTTCAGCGATAACTATCCGCCGTTTTCGTTTCACTCATAAGTTTTTAACATGACCAAGTAATAACAATGATAAATGCGTAATCAACGAACACTTTCGGACAGTCACCTCTGCAATCATGCCTTTATTCCAGTCTCCACTGATCCTAGGTGTATTTTGCATTTTCGAGCTCAGCTTGCACTCGTGCAGCGTTCGCAATCTTTTTTGGTCACGTGTAAGCTCCAGGGTGAAGCAAATGCACAAACGTTGCTCATCAAAATGTATGTACGAGATATTGCGCGCTTTCAAATAATCAGCAAAAATCAAAGAGCCATGAGCCTGAGAAAAACGGCGGATACTTATCGCTCAACCTATAAAACAAAACCTATCTATTAGGCTAGAACAAATTTTCTGAAATAATTTAATAATTTTTCACCACCTCACTGCTCAGTTCTGAAACAATCAAGGTCCACATAACCACACCAGTTTCAGGTCTCGATAAATATCACGTCTGTAGAGGACAGGTGATTTTTGCAGAAATTTTATGAATGTTGGAATCAATGCTCTTTTGGTCAGAATTGGTTCGGAATTGTTCTGCCCCGGAATCTCATGCTGATCTAAATTTCGCACTAACAATGCGAGAATTTTTTTGAAGCTTTTACAAAAGAAATTGTAAAAATGTGTGAGTGCAAAAGTTTTGCAGAAGTTCAGCCCTTGTCTAACTCCCGGCGCATAGCGCTTCTGTTAAGCCTAATATGAAAAAAAGTGAGCAGAAGTTTTGAAGTCTGTCAGTATATCCCTACTATGTATATAATATGATAATACACTGCGTTTCATAATTATAGGTCCACCCTAAATTTTTGCTACCAAAAAGTTGCTGTGCATTTTTTGAAAATGCTGCTATCATCACTCGATTCCTCATCACGGAAAATCTTCATAGTGTTTTTCTGACAAAGTTCTACCCTCAAGTAACCCAATTAACTTTTTTCAGAACGAATTGTCACCGTTTCATGAATATCGGGCCACTCAAAAAAAGTTTGCATTTCTCATAATCCATCAAGGGAAACGGGAAGCGGGGATATATTTGAGCCTAGTCGACATCGAGTTTACCATACCTCGTGCTACTCGCCTCTCTTCCCAGTAACAGGCTCAGGCCAGATTTAAAGAGATTCAGTTACTCGCCCCTGCTATTTACTTGCGGGATCAGTTTTGTTTTATTTCCGGTGCCTCTGATATAATGTTTTGTGCACTGTGTTTCGATGGAACTTGTAGGACCGCGTTGTTAAAAGTAGGCGATCCCTGTAACATGGTTTTGGGTTTCATGTTTGGAAAGCTATTATTATGGGTATGAGACCGAGCTTGTAGAGTCCGATGATCCATGCATTTGTGGGGAGACCTTCTTGTTTGTAACATACTTTTGCACGCTTTCTAGATATCCTATTGCATAAACTGCACCCCCAGTTGACATACATACTGTATTTTGTCTGCCGTACAGTGACTGCAGCCATTTCTTCCCACATTTGTGCTTAGTAATAGTAATAATAATAATAGTTAAATTCTCATTTAAGAAGATGATTAATTTTAGTAAACAATTCCAACATTCTAGGTCGAGCACACGGTCTTCTTCGCCCATATGGTCTCACCGGACAATATTGGGAGAAGATCGGGGAGATACTTATTGATGTGGTTCTGGGGCAAGAAGCCGTCCGCGATTTACCTGGAGCTGGTCAAGCATGGGTGATCTTCACTGCATGTTTAGTTGATCAGGTATTGACTTTGTGATGCAAAACAATCAAAATAACATCTCATCATGGAAACACTTCAGCTGCGAACTGGCTTCGAAGAAAGTCGAGGCCCATGTCAAGAATTTCCTAAACGTGAAGTGGTTCTCCACTACGCTACTAAGCATTTATACGAGACGGTAAATTCTTGAGTTCAGGCTTTCTTAGAAGATTGTTGATGATAATTTGTGCATATGCAATATCAGTGTGTCTTTGCTTTCTGCTTTTCAGAAGCTTAGAAAGTAAACTGTGTGATATGGTGGGAACACCTTCAAGGGTTCCTGATGTTCTGATTTACAGATTTTACTTTGCACACACTATCGAAATCTAAGGTGCTGATCTAAAGGACGAATTCACGATCAGAATGAAGTCGAAAAAGGAGTGATCCACCTAGTTGAGGGTCCCGCGGCCCTCCTAAGGGTGTTGACTGAAGCCCGATAGGCATCAAAGAAGTTGTCCTCGGCAACTTATCAGACCAGTTTTGGCGCGGTGGGTAAGTGCCCACCAACTAAGCCGTAGGTCTATGCGTGGCGACTGATCAGATAGCGGAGAGAGTGCAGCGATGAAGAGGGCAGAGAGATGAAAGTCGCATCAATGCGCAAATCAACGGGAAGAGGTCCCATTCCTCGCGTTCTGAGCCGTTTCTTATGGTTTTTTCTTCTTTCGTGGACCGCTCCCCATCCCTAGCTTAACTTAGAATAGACTTCTTTTTAGATAGTGAATTCGTCCTTTATAGAATACAAACTGCAGAAATTAGATGTTTTGACCAACTATGAGCTTCTAACCTTCCCAGTTCTGGTTAGAATTGTATAGTGAAGACTTTTGATGAAGAACCCAACATTGAATTAAGTACTTAGAGACGTACGCATTCCAATATCCCTATTGACGAGGACATTCGAAATATCGAAGTATACACACATTTACATATTATAAATGGTGGATTTAGGAAGAGCCAGACAGCTTGATCGTGACAGATTCAAGCTTGCTGCCGACAGTTACCTCGACAAATTGGAAAGACAGGGACGACCTCTCTGAACCGAACTGCTCCCACAAGCAAGTTGTCGAAGAAGCTCATAACTGCCATATTCCTCGAGAGCAGAACATGATCCAGCAGGGGAAACGTAGGCTTTCAAAGGTAATGTATTTACTTATTGGTAGATACAACTTGTGCAAACTATGAAGTCTAACAATACTATGTGCAGAAATGCACGTTGACGTAAGGACAGTTAAGAGCGAAATAATTCTGTAGCTGGTGCATGGCGTTAGTCTGATTAAGGACTTGATTACTTATAGTATTGACTGTTGTCGGCAATGTGAGTCCCAGAATTATATGAGTATTCAGATGACCTGAGTAAGGAATGAGAAGCAGCTGAAAGAGTAGGTCACTAAAAAGGTGCCTACTCTGCTGTATAACGTGAACAAGTTGAGGGAGGGCAACTGTTTTTTCTAGTTGCATTTTTTTCGTTTAAGCGAATTAAGCGCTACGTGCAGTTTCTCAATCAGAGGCCTTGTGTACCACTATCCCGCGGATTGTGTCCATCCAAGATGCTTGGGCATTGTTCACATTCCGCTACCTCAAAAATTGAAGGATCGCGAAGAGTTCCGGGCTTATCGATCTGATTGAATCTGTCTTTGCCTTTCGTGAAAATCCTGGATTTTCCAGATTTTCGCTGCAGTACCCGTCCGTAATTCTTGGCTTCTCCAGAAATACTGTTTTACATAGCGTAATGATCATTCGTCATTCTCATTGTGGCGAAATTGCTCAAGATGACGTGGTCAAAATATGAATACAGAAGGAAGAGAGCCACTATAAAGCATAAAATTTCCTAATTTTCTTACGCTAACTAATAAGAACATAAATCACACTTTCTACCGAGCAACTTTCACCTGAGTACTTGTTTGAAACAATTTTTACATTTTACATCACTACATGATAAATTACTACAAGATATTGACATTGCACAAGAGTGGCATAAGTGCCAATCAAGGCCTTCCTTAACTAGCTGAGTAACAGCTGCTGAAAACCACGAGGGCGTCGTGCGCCTGTGCCATGATTAAGACCCTCTTGCTGAAATACTCAACTGCCATCGAAATCCATCGTGATCAAAAGTGTCTGTCTCCATCGACTAGAATCACCATTTTTGCTAGAATGATGTGGATGTCAAAATACGCGTATATTCTGTACCGACAAAGTAAATGTAAATGAAATTAATGCAAAGACGTAACAAATTAATTGGAGGGGTTTTTCTCAAAAAGTAGTTTGTCTTCCGTTTCGCACGTGCCCTTATACGGAAAACAAACTGACATCGACAAAATTGCATAGGGCAAGGTCGAAAGTAGTTGTGCCCATGGACGCCTTTATTATCTTTTCTTGAACGAGCTCCTTCGCTGCAAAAAGTGGTGTGTAGCATCGGAATGGCTCGTCGTTGGGTGTAGTATATCCGCGGCGTAATCCTCCCCTTTGCCCCGCGACGCCAACGACAAGGCAACCTGCTGCCTGATATTGCCTGCCATGATATATTGGAGCATTGTCCAGGATGGCTCCCCTATTTTCGTTACGATTTGGGGCGCGGCCGCGGCAAGAGCGGACGAGTTGATGGTGCCCGCGAACTGTGCGGGAAGGTTTTAAAACACTCCATCAGCTCAGTTCGCGGGCACTACCAACTCGGCCCCGCTCGCCGCGGCCTCGTCCCAAATCGTGAAGAAGGTGGGGGAGCTGTTCAGGGTGTTTACGAATTTTGGGGTGAGCACTTGGTTGATCACCATTTAAAGGACGCTTGCAACAGTACTCAGGTTCAGCTCTACACCTCAGTGTCAACGTGCATTGTGCGGCTCTCCGGACCATACAGTAGAACTGCTCTAAATTTGGAAGACCGTGCAGCGCGGCACCTGAGAATTATATTCCATAGTTAATATGCAAGAACTGAAGGAACAGAGGATTCTGAAATTGAAACTGAAACTTCTGCAATTGCTGTACCCATTGTGATCGCATAATGATGGGTAGGTAGTCATGTATTGAGAAAGGTCAATAAGCCCGCGCAGGCTTTAGTGAGGTCGCGAAAGACCACTCCGCCTGACCACTATCCATCATGGCTACAGCCTACATGTGGGCTACGTTGTCTGTCATGACGAGACTTCTGACGGTTGCCTATTTTGGCGGGTTAATAATTGGTTCGGTCCTTCTGTCGAAACGCGTTAAAAAGCTACCAGTCAATCTGCAATTTTCGCCGACGACCGATATGTGAGGGTGGATGATCTGTACGCAACAATTCATCGGAATGGATAGAGAAGCCAAAGGAATGTTTCCGCAGACGAGATGTAACAGCCCGGTGATGGTTTTGACAAGAAAAACAAGCTGGAGTCTGGAATCAGAAATTGAAGCGCTCGGGCACCAGCTGCATGATTTCATGATCGGTTGAATTTCTATGGGGAATCCGACAGATCGATCATTTTTCCAACTGGAGCGATTCTATAGAAAGCACTTCTGCATTTTTTTCCGGAGTGCATACATAGGTGATCTCACTGGAACAAATCCAACGGATATGCACACAAAAAAGCAGAAATAACAGGATTTAACAAGGACGACAGAATAAGAATGGGATTGGTAGGGTTGACTGCTGAGGTCAAAGGCCAGCTCTTGGTGATCGTTCACATGAAATGTAATAGCGACCATTGCATTAATTACGTGATGCCTACAATGAAAAGTTCGATGGACGTTCTGCTCTAATTCAGGAAATTTTCCAGATCTCCAAACGCTTCATAAGGAAGGATTTTCGCCCGCCAGGAATTATGCAGAAACAACTCTCTTTTAGTACACAGGAGAATTTCGTTTCGGTGACATATTCATCATAAAGACACCTCTACAGTCCAGGTCCTTTCAAAGTGTGAGGAGTAAGAAGCTAGACATTCCATGCGGGATTGGTTTTGACTTGCGGAAGGTTCATGATCATGAATTGTGGATCAGAATAAATTCCACACCAGCACCGCTTCGGCTGGAAGGTTTGGACAGATGCACGACTCTTCGCGAGAAAATGGGAAAGAAGTTCTGACCGCACTCAATGGAAAGCTTGTAAGAGTCTGAGTTGAAACAGAACAGAATTAGTTTTGTAAACTACCGTTGTTGTGCCACGAAAGAATAAATGAGAAATTTTCTACTATCGAGTAAGAACGGTGGAGTTATCAGCATAAATGACACAGTAGTCTCCAAGGACTCTGAGAATGCAAGAAGTTTGTTGACGTGGACCATACGCGTGTGTGCTTTTTCGAAGAAGCCCTGAATGGTGAGTCAGGATCTTCTCACATCTGTTCTCGCGCCGCCTCCAACTCTTGCAATTCTACAGCGATATTGTTAAAGAGTTAGAATTGAACGACTTCAGGAAGGAGTTAGTGAAATTTCTGCTTTCAGCGGGCCCAGTCTTTACACCATCCGAATGACATCACTTTGAGGAAGTGGCTGGACCGAAAGCTATCGCTAGAAGAAAGTGCACACGGTGCTGTACAGTCGAATCAACCGAAGGAGGTAGGACCGATGCAGTTTGTCAAACAAGAAGGATTAAAAGGTACACGATGCAACTGGTGCAGAGCATTCTTCTGCTTTGGATGGTTCATAGGTTCCGTGAAGTCTACAACTAGAAATTTTTTTACACGTTTTGACATATGATAGCCATTCGATTATCACCGGGTTGAAGGAGAATGTTATGTTTTGACCAAAATTTGTACGCTATCTTCACTCCTGAACCACTACAACATGTCGCTCTCAAGCATTTACTTTCGAAGGCGTATCGAAAACACAGAAAAAGACGCAAACAATAAGGCTGATATCCCTAATGGGTTGCAGAGTCCTTCGGCCGATAGGCTAAACGATGGGTTTATGGGTGCCATGCTGAAGTAATAGCAAAACTGTCAACTCAGTTACTCGATCCGAGCCAAAAGTAGAGCTGAAGATTGCGCAATAACAAATCACAGCCTGAAGAGTTCCAGTGTGTGTCTACTAAAGCATTACAGCATTTTCAATGCAGACCGTACGTACCGCGTGCCTGCAAATTAATGAGTTGATGAAGAATAGGTTTCTGTGTATCTGCTCCAGAATTCAGTCTAGTATACTTTCACAGCGACTGTGTTACCTTACAAAATGTGTTATGTTTCGCAAACACCAAATGTTTGCTGAACATTATTCTGTCATACTTTTAGTTCTGCTCGAACAAAGACGAGAATGTCAGGAGTAAAAGTACGAATAGTGCTGCACAAGAGGCTACTACGTCATCGAGCAGAAGAAGACATTCCAACGTTGATGCTTCGCTACCAGAAATATGTGTGAATAAATCGTAGAAATTAACAGATGGGATCAGTCGTGTCGGCGCTCAAGGTATTGAGATATTCGAAGTTTGTTCTATTCGAAATTTGTTCCGCGCTGTTTAGAGCATCCAGACAGGCATCGCACGAGACTTGGATTTGAGGGGGGTATACTATTTCATGATTTTGTCGTTATACGTATCTTGCCAAGTCGAAGTCATTATCCCATCCATCACCCAGTAGGACAATATTTTGCGATATGTTATAGTACATACAGGGATAGACAGAATGATGTTATCATTATAAAAATATGAAGAATGCTTCTCTGATCAATTAATTTCTGGCTCGAGGAATGCGCGTTCGATTTCCAATTGATATTTTTCTGGGGAGGTTTCAATTTCCTATGCTTCGGATGGAGTCTCGAGGCTCATTCGAGTCTAGAGTGGTAGAGAGTGGTTAACATTTCTACAAGAAACGAGCTTGCGTGTTGTAGGTAGGATATATCATACAGACACTGGAAGTGGCCGAGCGCAGCGCTGGCGTTTTCGGGAGCTAGCACGTACACCTGTTTCCATTTGTCGAGAAACGTCAGAAATTGTGGTTAATGTGCAGCCATATTTCGGGGTATTACTCGGGCTCGACCCCAACAGTCTATAGTGACCATCTATCGTGATTGCTGATACTGATACTGAGCTTAACCGATTTCTAGACGTCTCCGGACGCAGGTTGGGAAAATCCAGACAGTGAATTGAGGCGTCTAAAACGTCCGGTGCCCGAGATTCGTAGCCGCCTGCCACAGCCTAGCCATCTACTGCCATTATGTCTTCTCGCTCAATAATTGCTTCGCACCTCCTATAATGAACCTGCAAACAAGCTCTCATTCAAGTTTTTGACATCGATTAAGGCTAGTGAAAACAGCACAAAATATGCTGAACGAAGATGTATTCACGCTCATATGTATTTCCTATCTACAACTATTGGTGTTTACGAATCCACTGCTCGGGTTCGAAGTCGTATAGGTTCGCGCGCACAAGTCGCAGCAGGATCGCCAAGTGCAAATTTGATAGGATTCAGCTCAAGAAAACCATTGCAAGGTGTACGTATCAACATCAGACAAGCAGCCGTCAGGAACATTGCACGTCTCAATGAGATGAGCCAAATCCATTCCTGAAGACGAATCTCTTTAACTTAGGGTCCCCTCTCACTAAAAGTTCTCTAGCCGCTTGGTGGCGAGGCTACGTGGCGCAACCCCCAGTGGCGTATAGGGGGTAAATTGTGGACCAGAAACCACCTTGTACTTGCCCTGAGACGCGAAAAGCTTGCAATGACTAAGCACATGGGAGGCGATTCGGGGAAGCCTCCAAAAACTAAGCTCCTTGTTCCGCTCAAGGATAGTGTGGATAACTACCTGGAATTCTATCCTAGCCCACACGACAGAGCCTGGAAAGCTACTCGTGTGCCTTCAACGCGCCGGAAACAGCAATATGAATGGGCCTCATTCCCCTGAACCTGAGGGAGCCCTCAATACGGCAGCGTTGGGTAGGACCGCTCGGGAGAGGCTGCTACAATTTCCGGCCCCATATAAGCAGAGGTAGCGATCAGAACCTTCAACGCTCGGAGGCTTGCACCCGAACTCACATTGAAGACGTGATGATGCAAGCCAGGTAGATCAAGTACGACGTCATCGGACTGACCGAGACGAGAAGGCACCGCCCGCAACACGCCGTTTTCGATACTGGAGAAGAATTGGGAGAAGAACTGTTCCTTTGAACATGCTACAGCAGAGGCGTTGGCGGTGTGGTTGTCCTTGTCAACACGCACTTGCCAATAAACATCGTTTCGTACGGAAGCCTAGCGACCCGCATCGACGTTTGAGATTGAGAAGATGTGGTTCAACTCCTGCTTTGACAATCTTCTTCGCCTACGCACCAACATCCAGCTACGACGAATGCAACACGAAGCATTTTACATGGAACTGGAGGAGTTTCACAGGGAGGACCACACCTTCTTCGAGGTCATCGTCGGCGACTTCAACGCTAAGATTGGCCCGAGAAGAACGGCTGAAGAATTTTACATCGGTATTCACAGAATGGACTAGAATGAGCAGGGCAAGAGACTGTCGGAATTTTCCACAGTTCCAGAAGCCCTCTCACCTTCGTTGGACTTGGGAGTCACTTGATGAGCAGTTCGATAACGAGATAGGCCATATTATCTTCAATCGAAGGTTTTGCCTGACCGACGTCGCTGTTGTTCCAGAGTTCTACGGAGTGGACCACCATCTTTTCCGCGCAAGATCCCACTTTTCGATGCGAGTTGAGGGAGCTTTAGAGTATAGGAAACGAAGCTCCAGGACAGACATCAACTGGGACTCACTTCACTTCTCTTGCTAACTCATGGGAGGATTCCGTTATCGAAAACATCGACGAGGGAAACCATCGGCTCGTTGAATACATTAACGAGAATGGCAGGAAAACAGAGAGTTCGGAAGTCAACAAGACGACGTCGGTCTCCGGAAACTGTCGAGCTGATACGAAAACGTGGAGCCGTGCAGGCAATCACCAGCTCACATCCGAGCTCGCGAAGTTATGCAGAGAGGCGGTAAAAGGAGCGAAGAGCAGCAGTATCAGCTTAAGCAGCAGAGGCTGGGAGGAGCATCCGCAATGCCCGCCGAAGCTTTGCCAGCTACAAGACCAAGATGACCTGTCTCAGACGTCTGTATGGAAAAACAGTCACTGCATCCCAAAAGGCATTGGAGAAAATCATCCACGACTTCTACTTGGATCTCTTCGATAACCATGTCCATCTGCCTACTTAACAACTGCAAGAAGATGAATACGTCGTTCCTTCAGTTCTCTTTTCCGAAGTCCGACATGCCATTAAGTCTGTAGAGAATCGAACACCAGCCGGTCTCGACAGGGTTAACCGGAACATCTGAAGGATATCGCTAGTTATTATCAAAACTCTGGCTCGACACTTCACGCGTTACCAGAAAGTGAGGTACCCACCCCGGGAAAACCAGCAGAACCGTGCTAATGTGCAAGGAGGGAGGCTTTGATGATACTGGCAACAACCGGCCAAACTGCCTGCTGTCTGTAATCTATAAACTGTCTACTCGAGCCATTCTCAATGGGATTGTCAGAATACTGGATGAAGGAGGCCATGCAAGCAAGCAGGGTTTCGGAGAGTTCAGCACTATCGACCATATCCACACGGTTGCAAGACTCGTTAAAATTTCACGAGAGCACAAGATGCGCTCTGTCTTACGTTCATCGACTTGAAGGAGGCCTTCGACTCTGTGGAGACAGAAGCGGTCATCGAAGCCTTGGGCAACCAGGGCATTCCTACTCAGTACATAAGGTTTCGTGAGCTCTACAGTAACTTTACGAACAAACTCTCAGAATTCCACAAGGAGGTCATCATCGACGCCAAGAGGGGGGTTCGACAGGGCGAGACCGTCTCGCCCAAGCTCTTCAGCGCCGCTCTCAAAAACGTCATGCGTCAACTGGAATGGGAAGAGGGAGTGAAGGTTAACGGCCGGCAACTACACCACCTTCGAGCTGCTGATGATATCGTTCTTATAGGGTCGAAAATCTGGGAATCTGCAGCACGTTCTTCGCGAAAAGGGAAACTCAGAAAGTAACGTACATTAGTGGAAGAAGCCAAACAGGAATCGACCATGTGTGGTAAGAAGATCATACCTCAAAACTGTGAAGGTTTTTAAAGACTCCCTGGCGAAGATCTGGCTCCCCAACCCAGGCGCTCCTGGCAAACATCACAATAAGGCTCCGAAGGAGGGCTAAGGTAAGCAATGAGTGAGAATTCGGTGGTGGAAGCTGCACCGACCAGAGAAGGAAGGCCTTAAACGAAGGGTATTGGAAGCTGGCCTCTCGGATGCACAAGGACCATTTCAGGTGACATGGAGCAATGCCGATAAAGTTATCCTGCAATGCGCCAAAGAGGTACTGGGCGAGACACGAGGAGGAATCAGGGGAGACAAGGTTCTGGAACGAGGAAGTCCAGCGAGTCGTGAAGAGGAATAAAGAAGCATAGAAGTGCTGGCAGACTCGAAGCCCTGAGCACCTCGCTGCTTTTAAGAGTTGCAAGAGGCTTGCGAAGACGGTCGTCGTCAAGGCATAGAACACTGAGATGGATGCCTTGTACGAGAAGCTGGAGAGCCAAAATGAGGAGACTTTCGACTACAGACTGGCTAAAGCTCGGCACCGAGCTACTCAGGATACCACGATGATGAAGAGGTAAAGAACAACGACGGCACCATTCTAAGGGAGCCAGCTGAGGTCAAGAGGGAGTGGGAAGAGTACTACAGTGCACTACTGAATGAGGAGCTCCCTGGTAACTCGCAAGCAGAGGCAACGGCGGCCCCATCTCGCTGTGGACGGAGGATGAGGTCCGCCGTGAAGTAGGAAAGGTGAAGGTTGGGAAGGCAGTGGGTCTAGATGGGGCGCCAGTCAGGCATGGAAGGCGCTCGGAGAGTACGGAATCAGATGGCTCACCCGATTCCTGAACACGGTAACTGGAGGAAGGATGCCACATGCCGGGAGAACAAGCACTATCGTTCCCATCTTCAAGCAGAAGGGTGACGCAATGGACTGCTCCAACTACCGCAGAATAAAGTTGGCTGCGCACACCATGAAGTTGTACGAACGGCTAGTCGACTCGAAGCTGCTTGAGCTGGTCGCGATCTCCTGGGATACGGGTTTGTGCCTGGGAGATACACAACGGATGCCATCATGCGAGTAATGGAAAAGTGTAGAGAGAAGCGCCGGCTCTGCTAGCTAGCTTTCCTCGGCCTGGAAAAGGCGTTCGACCGGCCACCGCGATCAGTGCTGTGGAGGTCGCTCAGGGAACGAAACGGCCACAAACTCATCTCTCTGGTGAGGGATATGCACGAAGGGCAACTATACGCACCCCGCACGGTCTGACAAAAGAGGTAGACGTCACGGTTGGGGTGCACCAAGGATTAGCTCTGAGCCCCTTCCTGTTCCTCCTAACGTTAGAAGCCATGGTGAAGGGCCTCA